AAACATTAAACAAAACAAAATTAATAATTGACAGCAGTAGCAGTAAACTCCAGTTAACAATGACGACACGATATCAAACAACGGCATCCTCGCTTGACCTTTGGCGTTAAATAATAAAAACCTAATTTAACTTAAAATGAAAAACCGACCGAGTTATGAGACTCAGCTGTAGCAAAATTAATTTATGATGTACTATTTTGTTAATAAAGTACCAACCCCGATTGAGGTCATCAAAAATGAAACTTATAAAAAGTAAAAAGGCCGACTTCAAAGCAATGTAAAGACGAAAATTATTTCCATATAATACCTTATGAGTTCGGTGCTAAGGTTAACGACCCCACTTTAGAAGCTAATATGTAGAATTTATATTATTCTTTTTAATTATTTAAAGAAGATGCACAAAAACATTAAATTATGTAATTAATCTCACTGCAGAACTTTAAGATACTGTAAGCTGCATTCTGTGAAGTTCGGATAAAAATTAATATTATTATCCCCCATCAACTACTTCTCGTTTGTTTTACCTTATAACTTCGTGATCAATAAATCTAGAGGCTTGAGTTTTCAGTAACCGAGTAACCATTGTATAAACATAGTATATTTCAAATTTCATTCAATTTGAACGAGTAGTTTAAGAATTGTAACCAGTCAAAGTTTCTTAATTTTGTCACTCACTAACTGACCGATCATCAAAACTCTAAGGCACTTCTAGCAGACATAGAAGCTTCAAATTTAGAATACTATTAGTGTTTAGTGTATAAATCAAGGAAAAACTAAAACATTTGTTAATTTCTGTCCAGTTTTTACGATACACTCACTGCATAAATAACTTTGTAATCCCATATAAATATATAGAATTACAAAGTTACATTTGCAGTGAATGAATCAGTGTATTAGTATATGTATTACAGGTGTATATAGGTACGTTGTTGGTACTCAAGAAGTAGAAGGTACCGGAAAGGTAAAAAATTAGGACTATTTTATATACAAAAAGAAATGAGATACCATTAAAAACATAACTTGTAAAAAAAACCAAGTCTCGCAACTCAGTTCTTCTACCGTAAAAAGTTGTGAGATCCATGTAATACCAAGTCGGTTAATTTATTCAGTTCCTACTTAAGGGTCCTTCTGTTTTAAGTTATTACGTAATTAGGTAACCTAACAACATTTTATAGTGACCATATCAATTTCAAAAGTCTTTTATGTTTTAAATATATAGATTGACTTGGCAATCGCACTAAGCAATCTAATTTAATATAATACGTATTACTTATGAGATACATTGTGGTTTCATGCGATGGCCAAGTTAATCTATATATTTAAAATATAAAAGACTTTTAACATCCATATGGTCACTATAAAATGTTGTTAGGTTAGCTAATTACGTAATAACTTAAAACAGAAGGACCCTTAAGTAGGAACTGAATAAATTAACCGACTTGGTATTACATGGATCTCACAACTTTTTACGGTAGAAGAACTGAGTTGCGAGACTTGGTTTTTTTTTTACAAGTTATGTTATTAATGGTATTTACTTAACTGTTACTCGTTATACAACTACTTAATTATCCACTACCCCATCTATAAAATATCCACAACCCTAAATCATCACGTGGGTGTCAAAAGAGGACAGGAGAAAGGCAGCAGCACCTTCCTAATAACAACTGAAAATAATAAAAACTGCGGTCGCCTAACTGACTGCAAAGTAAAGCAACTATGGCAAAATACGCCTTAAGAGACAATCTATGGGAAGTCCTAGAGTATTTTTAACATTGGGTGAAAAACGAATACACATTCCTCCTGATGATAAGTGGATGCTATGGCCCATAGATATCCACATGTATCCTCAATTAAGAATCAAAATGCAAATGGGATCGTCACCCCTGAGGACTAAGACGGAATGCCTCGATTCCAGTAAAAAAGGGTCTCCGGTACTTACGCTCCAGCAGCATTACGCTGGTATTCTGTGAAAGCGTGGTCCTATCTCGGTTGAGCTAATCCATTCGTGCTACAACAATAATGAGCATGACTCTACCACGTAAAAAAGTTTATCGGATGAAATAGAAAGGTTGGATGGACTGCGTCGTACCGCCTTTAAAGAGATGGCGTATGAGATTCGTGAGTGTAGTAACGCCAGAGGGTAATAAAGCGAGAGATGGAGAGCAATACAATGGCCAGCAACATTTTCCTGATTATAACTTATAATAATAAAAAGCGAAGACTGCCAATCCATCTGCTAAGAGTAGCAGCTATAGAAAATATCCCTAGTGAAGCAATTTATCGGGGAGACCTGTGATTATCAGTGGACATTGATAGCTTGTAATTAATTAATGAATAATGAATAACTGCAACTTCGTCTATAAAACAAAAATTATATCCTTGGGGCCTTAGAGTCATTACACTGACTTACAAATTAAATTATTCTTAGAGCCACTGTATATAGCTTGTGTTTTCGAGGACTATTAAACATATCGATAAGGAATTTTTTTATAGGTTCATTAGTCCTCGAGTCAAATCTATTCCTACAGATAATTTTTAAAGTAATTTAAAGACAAACTTTTATCTGCTGATAAGGGTCGTTCGTTCCGAAAATTGAAACTGATGGAACTTTTACTATGAATAGTGATTTCTTGGGTATTTTCGAAATGAAAATTGCATACTTGTTCATTCTTTTTGTTTGCATATTAAAGAATACCCTAGGTAATTTGATATTGCTTCTGAAACATTAGTTTTATCTAATGTGCAATATCAGATTTAATAAAACGAATGTTAAAAATAATTTTGAGATGCGGTCTTTTAGAAGAAATTTTTAATCAAAATTAGTATTTTGACATTTTTGACTTATTTTATAGCCGTTTAGGTACAAAAAATGTATGAGGGCCCAAGTGACTAACTAAAAATAGTTTTCCGATATCTTTCTATATAATAAATGGAGCACACATACTACTTAATACTGTGGCCCCCAGCCGTCTACATCTGTCCTCGATTATAAATAAAAATACGTTGTTACCCTAGAGACTGAGGTGGAATGCCTCGTTTGCGGAAAAAAGTTTCCCGGGTCTCAACACTCACCATACGAATTAAGCTGCTATTTTACAGTATGTCCTATTTTCTGGTATTCTGTGAAAACGTAGTCCTTTCCCGATCAAGCTGATATCTGTCAACACGATAAAGGCCTATATATACGACGACGGAAGAATATAATTGTTATAATCATTTGACAAGTATCAATATCGTTTTCCGCTGCTGTCCGTCACTGGGTTGGATATTTTCCATCTGACATAAACATTTGATCTCACAACGTCTCTTTCTTTTCCAACATCTATTTAACAATTTGTTAACACAACATGTGGTTTTTGTATATATATATATATATATATATATATATATATATGTGTGGTGTCTGGGAGAAACCTGTTAAGTCCAAAAACGTAATTTTTCAGTATAAGACTTTTAAGGTTCAAGTTTAATTTATAAATCAGTAAGGTAAAGTAGAAAAAGCTAACCACTGCTGCAGTAACTATTTATTAATCAGGTTTTTTTAAATATATTAACGAAAACTAAAAACACAGCCGTTTCATTTTATATGGCACTTATCATTTTTAACCAAATTAACATTAACTAAATATATCGACAACAATGGAGTTAACATATTGAAATCAAAATTAGCAGTAGTAGAACACAATTGTTATAATTTATTCGTAATTTTCGTCACTGTCGCTTACAGAGTCAGGATTCGTGTTTGAGGTTTTCAAATTTTTATAAAACTTATGATAAACACGATCTATAAAAGGTAGCAAACTTATAATATCATGGTACTTTTTTGAGCATATAGGTAAAGGACTCGAATATGCTCTTGGTATGCTCAAAGTAGCAACCGATGATAACCGTCCCCTTTTAACAAATGAGTAGTATCTAAAAGGTTCACTTGAGTCTAAAGACTCTTTGAACGCTACATCATTAGAGTGTTTAGAACAAATTATCCAAAAAATATTGTTCCAAATAAAAGGATTTTTATCGGTATCAATGTTTCTTTTCATAAACATTGTTTTGAAAAATTGAGAAAATCCTAAAAACTCTTCTTATGTCATCATTTGGACTGTGTATCTGCGACTAGTCATTTGGATAATGTTTGCCCAATCTTGTGGAACAGAAATTGAAACTCTATGATGTTTTATAAATTTTTCTATCGCTGCATGATCGCTGTCGCATTCCAAATGCGTATGTCCGGGCACTAAAAATTTGTGATGGATTTCATTTAAACTGGTTTTTCGATTGACAGCTAATGCAAACATTAATGGTAAAATATTATTTCTGTTTTGTCCTGGGCAGGTATCTGAGTAGAATATTATCTGCTCTACAGTATCTGGTAGCTCCATAATAAATCGAAACAAACATGATGCAATCTCATCCACACCTCTTTGTGCGATACTTTCGTACCAAATAAAACAGTGCGTTCGTTTTTCTGTGATGTTACGTACAGTTAAATTAAAAGTCCATAGCTTCCTTTTATAAAACGATATTCCAACTGATAGATAATCAGTCGCTAAACATTTTTGTAGATCGAATGCAGCAACAACAATTTTTCACAAGTTTTAATTTGAAGCGTAAGCGAATCGCAAGTTTTGCATGTATCGTTAGAAGGTTTGTTGAATTTCAAATTGAGTGTTTTAAAAATGCTAAGAAACAGCGAAATGCTTACTGGCGGTAATCCTTCTTCTCCATTGTCTTTCACGTATTCATCTTTGTACAACTTGTAGAATATCTTCATGTTTAAATCCTGATGAAGGTATTTTTATTCGTATGGCGTCGGGTAGTGACTTTCATAAGCTGGAAATTTGTCGATGAAGTTTTTACGTATTGGATGTCATGGTCAGAACGTTTATTTCCAGGATGCCTTAAACCTCTTTGATCAGCTTTTACAATAACAGATGCCGATGAGCTGTTCTTTTTCTTCTTAACGATTTCATCTATAAAACCTCTGCCTTCACCAAATGTTTTCATGAAATATTTTTGCAAATATTTCCTTCAGTTCCATCTATATTGTAAACAACTGTTACCTCTCTGTTTTTCATAAATGAATTTCTTCTTGTACGCTCTTTTGGTTTAATTTTAATCAATCCACTCAAATATCTCTTTTGTGCTTTTCTAGACGGTAATTCCCTGTAGTCAATGTAAAGCTGGTTCAAATTAATTTTCTCAAGCTTTTGTTGACATTTTGCCCTACAATTATCTGAAAATCCACCCGGATAACGCTTTGGTATACATTTTCCTTTTGCAGTTACATATTCCTCGCCTTTTCGACGTTTTTCAGATTTCCTTGTAGATTCTTCGTTTTCAATAGATGTTATCAAATCATGACTGACAGGTTGCCATTCATCATCAGAGCCAGAGCTAAAATCCTGACCCTGTAAAAAAGTAAAAAAAAAAAAACTTTTTTTTTAATACTAACAACAACTTTTGTTTTGTCGATATTCCCTAAGAATAATTTTTACATAAGTAATCACAGAACAGTTAGAAAATAAGTTAAATAAAAAATCAAAAAACCTACCATCTCTACATCACATTCTGTATTATCTTATAAAACATCTCTTGATTTTTCTGCAGAAAAATCTGATGATCCTGGTTCAATTTCATTGTTTTGAATAATCATCATCATCATCATCATTACAGCCCTTCACAAGTCCACTGCTGAACATAGGCCTCCCCCAAGTAATGCCACAAAGCACGGTCCTGAGCCACCTGCATCCATCGACTTCCTGCATGTCTTACCAGGTCGTCACTCCATCTAGTGGGGGGTCGCCCTACACTACGCCTACCGGTACGAGGCTGCCACTCGAGAACCTTTCTTCCCCATCGGTTATCGGTTCTTCGAGCTATATGGCCGGCCCATTGCCACTTCAGCTTACTAATCCGTTGGGCTATGTCGGTCACTCTGGTTTTACTGCGGATATCCTCATTTCTGAGTCTATCACGCAGAAAAACACCGAGCATAGCCCTCTCCATAGCTCGCTGAGCGACCTTAAGCGTCCTCATACGGCCAGCAGTGAAGGACCACGTCTCAGATCCGTAAGTCATCACTGGCAACACGCACTGGTTGTACAATCTAGTTTTTAGAGATTGAGGTATACCTGACGAAAAGATATGCCGTAATTTCCCGAACGCTGCCCAGCCGAGTTGAATCCGTCGATTGACCTCTCGGTCGAAGTTGGACTTACCTAGTCGGACTATTTGTCCCAGGTAAACGTATTCGTCAACAACTTCGAGCATAGTGCTCCCAACAACTACCGGCATAGGTGTGACATGGACATTGAACATGATCTTTGTTTTGTCCATGTTCATCTTAAGACCTATCCGTTGGGAGGCACTATTGAGGTCATTGAGCATAGTGCTTAAGTCCTCCAGCGATTCTGCCATAAGGACTATATCGTCGGCAAATCGAAGGTGAGTGATGTACTCGCCATTGATGTCAATACCGTATCCTTTCCAGTCCAGTAGCTTGAAAACGTCTTCCAATGCAGCGGTGAAGAGTTTCGGGGATATAACGTCACCCTGTCTTACACCTCTCTGCAGTTGGATAGGTTTCGAGCTCTGGTTCTGTACTCGGATAGCCATCGTAGCCCTACTGTACAAACACTTCAGCACTTCGATATACCGACAGTCAACTTGGCACCGCTGAAGGGACTGTAGCACCGCCCAAATTTCGACGGAATCAAAGGCTTTCTCATAGTCCACATACGCCAGGCAAAGTGGCAGATTGTACTCTTCAGTCTTCAGTACAATCTGCCGCAGGGTATGTATGTGGTCTATGGTACTGAAGCCTTTTCGGAAACCGGCTTGTTCGGGAGGCTGGAAGTCGTCAAGTCTGCGTGCGAGACGATTCGTAATGACTCTCGAAAACAGCACGTAGACGCGGCTCAGAAGGGAAATCGGTCTGTAGTTCTTTAAGAGAGCGTTGTCGCCTTTCTTAAAGAACAAGACCACCGCACTTCTGCTCCACGCCTCTGGAGTAGTGCCACCATGGAGGACGGAATTGAAGAGCTTCTGAAGGACTTCAAGTACCGGTGTTCCACCCGCTTTCAGAAGCTCCGCTGTAATTCCATCCTCGCCTGGGGCCCTGCCGTTTTTAAGGTGCTGGAGAGCCATTCTAATCTCGCTTAGACTGACGTCCGGGATATCATCGGAATAGTGTCGGATAAGACTTGCTCTTGGATCGTTACTCACACTTGCGTGTGGCTCCAACGATGATGTGTACAGCTGCCCATAGAACCTCTCAATCTCACTCAAAATCTCAGGTGTCCCGGAAACGATGTTGCCACACTCAGTCTTCAGCCTTGACAGTTGGCTCTTTCTGGCAGACAGATCTCTGGCAAAGACTTTGGAGCCCTGGTTCCGCTCGATCGCTTCTTTAATACGAGAAGTATTAAAGTTGCGTAAGTCTCGCCGTATGCATTTGGAGATCTGTCTGTTCAGTTGCCTGTATGCTGTCAAATCTGTTGACGATTGCAGCCTCATCTCCCGTCTAACAGCCATGAGTTTTGAATAATATTACTCTAAAAAAGAAAGTATTAAACTCATAATAAATACCATAGAGTATAATATTGCAAAAATAAAATTTGGTTTATAAACTGAAGTACTTACTTGATTAGAAGTTTCACAAACAATTTGGGGTAAAACGGTATCGTCCAGATGTTCATCAATATTTTCTGGTGCCCTATCTTCATTGTTCTTTTGAGTCTGAGAGCTAGGTATATCGAGCTGAAAGTACATTAATCATTACATTCTTGTAGGCTGGAGATCAAAACTACCCTAATTATCTTAATTTACTTGGACTTGTGTTGGTCTTGTGGTTTTTACTGAGTGGGATGTAGCTGTTTTTTCAAACGAATTTTTCTCCATAATATTATCTAAAGATGAGCTTGCTATTTCTTCCAATTCTATTTTAATATAATCAGTTCTAAATTCAGACTCAATGGGCATCGAACGGTTATCTAAAATCTTTAAGATGCTTAAGATAAAGTATTAATTCATACACATGTAAATTATATATGACTATCTACTTACTATTTCAATAGAATTGTCGTCATCACTTTTATCAATGCGAGAGTAAGAAACTTGTTTATTCCTGTCAGGAGACCAATTTTGAGTTTTCAGTTTTCAGTTTCATTTTCGGTAACGAGTACTACATTTCTTTCCTACAATAAATAAACAAGATTGATTGAATAAGAAACGGCTCTAGCTATCGAATATAACGTAAAAATTACTTATTTGTTTGCTAACCAATCTTAGTTGCAACAAAAGTTGTTCACTTACATGTAAATCAGACTCGGACTGCGAATCATTTGAAAATTGCAACACCGAATCTACTTTGCCACGAGAACGAGCACTTTGTGCATTGTTTCTGCGATTATTCATTTTAAAACTGTAATAATATTGTTTTCGTTTGAAAAACTTCACCTGTTCTGACAAGAGTTGGCGAAAAGTGCGCGAACGAAACCGTCAATAAGAAATAGAGAGGGTAAAAATGAATGAAATGACAGTATTGACAGTTAACCGGGTCGAGAAGCGAAATAGTTCACAACAATACGCATAGATGGCGGTTTATTAATTTTTTCACATTTATTCACAATAATAACCGACATCAAATTTTGATAAGTTTGCAGAAGTTAAGTAAAAAATAAAAATAATTTTGGTAGAAACTTGTTATGTGGGATTAATCAGTGTTAAAGCAAGGCTTTATTTAATTTATAAGTGGTACAAACATGACAAGTGGGACTTATCATGTTTTTATTAGAAAATCGTAACAATATTTTTAAATATTTGATACAGAGCTGATATGTGGGAGTTATCAGAAATAAGATCTAAATTTTTAATTTTTTGCGTTTGATAATATCATGACTAGTTTAGTTATCGAATTTGTACCAAACCATTAATAAAAAATCATGAATAGTCACGTTTTTACCGCTACGACTCTCCCACTCCTATGATAGTTACACTTATCAGCAATAGACCAAAATAAAATATGATTTTTTTTAATAACAACATAGTACCAAACTAAAAAAAGACGAAAATGGAGTTACCAGGTTTCTCCCAGACAACACAGATATATATATATATATATATATATTATATTTTTTTTATTTGGAAGACCAACAGCTATCATAGTGATAGATAGTATTAATGACAACAGTAAGCCAATTAAAGATCCTCACTAATAGATACAAAGGTGAATTTACAACAGTGAATAAATACGACTTAACACTCGAAAGTATCCAATACAACATATTTATGCCAAATGAGAGCTAAACTTGTATTATACATATAAAAGACAATCAACTCATACTTAGGACAGTCAATAACACTACATGCTATTTTTAACAGAAAAATAAACACAAATACAAAAGTAAATCATAGTTGTGTAGCAACGCATCAATATCTCACTTAGAGCTACCAAAAATGCATTGTTAAGTATGCGCCTACCTGACGCAGCACTAGTGTTAAACAAATCGAAGTCAAAGTCATTGGCTAGCTTATTGAAATTATTGCTCGCTCGCCATATAAATGTATTTTGCCTATAATTTGTAGATGAAAACGGGAGACTTAAAATTTTGTTGTATCTAAGAGGTTTGGCAGGACAGCTAACATGTAGTTGAGATAAAAGCTCAGGACAGTCAATAGCACTACAAGCTATTTTAACAGAAAAGTAGCAAAAGGTCAGCAATCTCACGACGCATAGCAAGAGGAAGAAGGTGATGTTTTTTACAATAACTAATATAATTATCTGAGGTATAGCGATAGTCATTGGTTCTATAACAGAGGTAACGTATAAACTTACTTTGGATAATTTCAAGTCGGGTAATATATGTTGCATACCTGGGGTTCCAGATTTGAGATGCGTACTCCAAATTACTTCTTACAAGAGAATAATATTGGATCTTTAGAGTTTTAGTTTTAGTGAAGTCCCTAGAGCTACGCATTAAAAATCCAAGAGCTTTCGTAGATTTGGTTATAATGCTTCCTAAGTGAACGTCAAATATCAATTTGGAATCATGAAGAACACCGAGATCTCTAGCAATGGAATCCCTTTTAAGATTTTCACCTTTTAATTTACAGTTAAAGACAATCAGTTTATATTTGCGACTATAGGACATAAAGCTACATTTCGAAGGGTACAAATCTAAGAAGTTTAGGTGGCAATAACGCTCTAGATTTGACTGATCTTCTCGTAGAGCCTCAGCATCCTCGATTGATGTTATTTTCAGAAATAGCTTCAGATCATCGGCAAAACATAATAAGCGAGCTTTCTTCACGTAATAGGTAATGTCATTGATAAAAATAACAAATAATAACGGACCCAGCAGTGAGCCCTGTGGCACTCCACTTGGAACAGTTACCTATCCTAATATGTAGTTGCTGACGACAACAGCTTGTGATCGATTATTTATATAAGACGTAAACCACCTAAGCAGATCGCCGTTTATACTGATCTTGGACAGTTTCAGCAATAGCAAATTATGATGTATTCTGTCAAAGGCTTTACTATAATTGGTGTAAAAGACATCTACCCGGTGGCGATTGTCCATTGCCTCAGTCAAATATGCATTAAAGAGTGCAAGATTTGAAACAGTAGAGCGTCCTCTTAAAAAAAACTATGTTGAGTCGGATTGAATGAATGCTTTAGAGCCGCGTATAATTGATTATATATAATTCGTTCGAACACTTTAGATAAAATACATAACTTGGAAATCGGTCGATAATTAGTAATTTCGGTCTTGGAACCCTTTTTATGTACAGGCGTGATAAATGCCCGCTTCCAGATGGTAGGAACAATACCTGTACTAAGGGACTTTTTAAACAAAATAGTCAAAGGAACACAACTTACATGCGCACAGTTAAGAAGAAAGTGGGCTGTAATTTTATTGGGACCAGCAGATTTCGTTGGATCCAACGTTTTAAGCAGGTTTTTGACAGTTCAATTGAGGTTATATCTACACTCGACTGAGGCAACACTAGAGAATCATTATAATTATTTTTAGATAGCTGAGTATTACTATCACCCGAAACCAAAAAATTTTAACGAAAATAGTTTGAATAAGCATTACAGATAAGTTCGCCAGAGTTAATTACAGAACCTTCAAATTTGACACAACAAGGAATTGAATGTGATTTTGATTTTTGTTTAATATACGACTAGAAGTGTTTCGGATTCGCACTAATCGAATTTTCCACAGAGGTTATGTAAGATTGGTATGCTAACTTTTCTAATTTTCTTACACGTTCACGCAATAGCTTAAAAGTTTCATTGTCATGCCTACAGCCATAGATCCTAAATTTACGTAAAAATTTATGTTTTTCTTTAATAGCTTTTTTAAGTGGTGCTGTATACCATTTGGGATAAGTGTCGGCAAGAATTAATTTTGAGGGGATATATTTATCTATAAGTGAAGTGAGTGTGCTATAAAAGTATTGAACAGATTCATCTAAGAATAACGGAGACATAACTTCACCCCATTGGATATTAGCAATCTCACCATTTAATGAATAATAGTAACATTTATGATATAAGAACTTAAGGCGAGAATTGCTATTTAATGAGTCACAATCAACGTTATCAAAAGGTATTTAAAGGGCACCATGATAAGGATCAACAGGAATAAGAGAATCCCCTCTTAAATCACGAACGGTTACAGCGTCGCTAGAAAAAACAAGGTCAAGGATCCTGCCATGGGCATTTTTTATACTTTAAAATTGTTTTAAATTTAGCGAGCTTAATTCATCTATTAATAAAATTTCATTTCCCGAACGAATATTTGTACCTAAAAATGAACCGTCGGTGGCGTCGATGTCAGGCACTGATATAATATCACTAATATTAAAGTCGCCAACTAATAAAAAGCTATTCGTCCGAGTGACTCATGACAACTTCGCTAACCGAGTGCAAATAATTTGGAAGTTGAGCAGTAAAACTGAGACCCCGATTTTCGTTACACAAATATAAGATACAAATATGCAAGTTCTTGTGTTTTTTATGGGTAATATGGTGAATAAACAACGTTAACCATAGGTCCTCAGCTCTTGAATGAAAGGAAGGCTGCGGGATAGCTTCTAGATCTTTACGCATCGCAATCAAAACACCACCACCATATTTCTGACCTGTAACTGTGTAATTCCTATCACGTCACCATACAACGTATCGATTATCAAATAATTCCGTATCACTAATTCTGTCCAGGAGCCATGTCTTCGTAATTAATATTATATCATAATCACATAAAAGAATATTATGATAAAATATGTTGGTTTTAGTGCGCAAGCCTCTTGCGTTCTGATAATATATTCTTAGGTTGTCACTGCCACACCCTACACGTACACTATTGTTATGTAGCATAGCCATTTTAAGCCTATCAATAACCAAAATAATTTTACTACAATGAAGGAATACATATCTCCCGTCATATTTCAAAAACCCGTTAATAAAATTAGAAAACAATATACCAATATTTGAAAATTCGCTAAGACTATAATAAGTTAGCATATAATATTTATAAACGGGTAGAAAAAATATAGATAACTGTATCATTTAATGAGTGCAAAATATGATGCATACTTAAGCGACCATCAACAGAAGCAAGCAACTGATAACAGATAGGCAATTTTAACAAATAGCGATGCGTCAGCGAAGCAGGTAAGGCAGTTTGATAATAGGCAACTTAATATATTTTTATATATATTTATATATATATATATATATATATATAATACGTGGTAGAGCCACGCTGCAGCTATGTTATAGTTGGCTCGACCGGGGAAGGACCATGTTCTCACAGAATACCAGTGTAAATTAGCAGCTTAATACTGGTGACTGGTGAGTGTAGAGATCCGGAGAACCTTTTTTACTGGAAACGAGGCATTCCATCTGAGTTCTCAGGAGCGACAACGCATCTGCGTTTTGATTCATAATCGAGGATAAACATAGATGTACATGGGACGCAGCATCCACTTACCATCACGTGGACTGTCTGCTCGCTTGTCACCCTTATTCTATAAAAAAAATATTCAGTAGCTTGCGAGAAATCGGTAAACATACAAAAAAACATACGCTTCGAATATATACATGCCGCCTAAAATTTATCAATAAAAAGCGTCAAGCTCCTATGTGTGTATTATGCAGCAATTTATAACAAAATATCTTTTGAATTTACTATTAGTTTCTCGCCATTGTTTCAAAGAAACTCCGCAAAGCCACAGTGCAGCTACTTTCAAAGAATTGCCTTCCGTCTACAAAGTGTTCCAAGATGAGCCTTCGTCGCGAGTTGTTTGTTACACACTCCAAAGTGTTAGTACTCCTTTACTTGAGAAACGTACCAAATCATAGAGCAGTAAGCAAATACACATATTCTTAGATTATCGCTTAC